TGTTCCATTTGGTGAAGAAATTCCCCTAAATTAGCAGAACTATAGCTCTGTATCTGCAGATGGAAACTGATGAATGGCAGTCTCCTTTTCACCTACCCGATCTACCTGTGCACTAGAGCACAAAAAAAAAAAATTCAATCCAACACACATCAGGATCTTCTTTTTCATTTTAGAAAGCCTTGGCATTACCCATGTATCACACCTAGATTTCGTCTGGCCTAATTGTTGTCTTGCCAGCCAGGAATCTAAATCGAGCTTCAGGAAGATGAGGAAAAAAGTATACAATAAGAAAAGTGATAAAAGAATTATACTGTCATAGACTGCTTATGATGCAAAGGAAGGGGATTGCAGCTGTTCACTCCTCCCTTCTCCCTTCCAGCAACCATGCTGACAGATTTCTCCGGTCTGGTTTTTTTTTTTTTTTTTCCCTCTTTCTTTTTTTAATCATTTTAACATGATATCAGGAAACTTCTTACATTTCTACATGACTTTCATGACCTGTGGCAACTCACTCCCACTGAGGTTGGTAGAACGTGTGTCTGCAAGCACGAGAACTGAACCAAGCCATCTTCTCTGTTAAAACCATAAATCCCTCTGAAGCCAACAATGTTGTGCACATACTAAGTAAGTGGAGAACTGAGCCCACAATATACATGCCAAAGAATGAGTGACTGAAGGGGGCAAGATAAAACTGCAGCTGGAAAAGAAAAGCAAACATATTGTAGGTGGAAAAACAGTGATGAGTGCAAGGTCCTAGCCAGCTGCCCCCTTCTTCCTGACACAGGAAAGAAAATAGTGTTGAAGTCCTAAGGTCACAGACAGAGGAGAAGAGAGGGCAAGAGCCAGACCTGGAGCTGAAGCACTTCCACACTTCAAGGGGTGTTGTGGCAAAAAAAATAACTGACAGACGATTGGGAGGGGAAATGAAGCGCCTGAAAGGGAAATTAATGAATCAAAGGAGGCAAATCTCTCCCTAATGGTATAATATTTCACAAGCTTTTGTCCACACAACATGGAGTGCAAACTTTTATTTATTCTTTGTTCTAGACACCTGCAGCAACATTCCCCTTACTTAGTATAATGCTGTGAAGCTCAAGTTCAGTTCGTCTACACATTGAAATGCCTTTTTCCTCATGAAGTCTTCTGTGTCTGTACATCTGGCTGCAATTGGATGTTCTATGAATGTAAAGACTACAATGAGATGGTATTACCTGATCATTCTTATAATTTGTGGGGCAAACCCCTTACGAGCATAAATCAGTGTAACTCCTCTGAAGTGAATGGAGCAAGGAAGAGCATCTGTCCACAAGGAATAATGAATCTGTTTTAATGAGCATGTTCCATAGCGGAGGAATAGACCATATTTATTTTTCAGTAATTGGATAGAAGCCCTCACTAAACATTGCCTTCCCCTATTTGCCTCTCTTACTTCACCAGCTGTCCCTAATGTGTGTGATGCTTTGACTGCTATTAGCCTTTGATTTCTCCCAGGCCCCTGACCCCTTGGTGAAAGAAGGCGTGGAAACTGTGATGAAGCTGTATCTCTTCAGTCCTATGCAACTTGAGGAGTTAAAGATAAAAGCTGCCACACAGCCACAGAAATGAGGAATTAAGGAGTACTGACTAGAAGGATGATTTTATTCCTCTGATTCTCCCTCCTGGAAAAAGCAGAGAACCCCTTGCAATGACCTCAATGCAGAGCAGAAAGCCTGCCTGCATCAAATGGGGTGGTCAGGGACCAAAAGATACAGTCCAAGCAGGCAGGTTGTTATGAATGGGAAGCGACACAGCCAACTGGAACAGCAGACCTGAACTCCTGGTTAGCTTTTGTTGACACTTGAAGCCAAATACACAAGCAGAAATGAAGCAGAAATTACTGAATGCCTTTGCAGGGGGCAAAAAGCATAGCAGTGTCGAGAGGAAAACGTGAGGAAACACTGGCCGCTGGCATCCTACACATGAAGGAAAGAATTACCCAATAGGGAAAATACATTGGTATCAGGCACCAAAGTTTCATAAACTGCAAAGAAATTTTAAGGTGCTGCAAGACAGTCTGAGGTCTGCTGGCTGTGCCCTGCTGCCCATCGTCTCCCTGGATCACAAAATAGGGATGGATGTCAGATGATGCCCGCCTTAGATGTGCACGAGATAAGCCCTGCCAGTGTGCGCCTAGGAATAAAGCTGCACTCCCACCCTCTTTATTCCTCTCTAAATACTGTGAGGTGTGACTTCCACAGACAGGCAACAGGGGAAGATGATGAGATCAGCTCCTTGGTTGTAAAACTGTCACTAGAAGAGTTCACTTTCTGATCTCCTGGTCATAGATATGCATAATATTACACGTGCACAGATACAGAGTAATAATCACTACCATGTTGTTACTCTAGAGCATATTCCATCTAAGAATCACAAAGGGTTTTAAAATACAACAGGCAAAACTGTTCTTATTAAGGGCTTCAGTACATAGACAATGAGATAGAAGGGACCTTAAGGAGTCATCTAATGTATACAGCTGTCTCAAGGACAGACCAATGATTCCCACCATTCCTGACAGCCTGAGGAATTTTGAAATATTTCCTGTGGGTAGAGACAGTGTGACTCCCAGTCCAGTCAGTCCCTAGATCCACTCTACATCCTTATCACGAGAATGTCTTTTCTCATGCCGAACCCTACTTTTGCTTCCTCCTACTTCTTCTCAACATCTGTAGCAGAAGGGACTGCAGATAATTCCCCTCCTCTTTGCAGCAGGCTTTCACACATTAGAGGATTGCTCTATTACCCCTTTACTATCCATCTTGAAGACTAATTAACGCCTGTTTGTGTAGCTTTTTCGCATCAGCTACATTTTCCAGTTTGTTCTCACTGGCCTTCTGCAAACTCTTTCCAAATGATCAACATCCTTTTCTAGACTCTTCCAACAATGTGACAAAGAGAAGATGAAAATACTTTTTCTTACCTTGGAGCAGGGGATTCAGTTCTATCTTTTACCTAGGGCAGTTAGGACACCTGATTTTCTCCTTTGAGCTTTACTACCAATCTATTTTATTCTTAAGCAAATTGCTTCTCCATTGGGCATCTACAGCTGACTGTATGTCTTGTTTATCTAGACTTTGAACTTTCCTGGAGAGGAGCTTTGTGTCTGTACAGTGCCTTTCAGATCTTGGCTTAAGCATCTCAAAAATCATTTAAAAAAAAGAATTGGACATGATACTGGTTGGCGTCTCTATTTTTCCAGCTTTCCCAGAAATGAATATCTAGGCCAGAATCTTCAATGCTGTGTCTCTCACATCAACGTAAATCATTCTTATCCATAAATAATGTTATTTGCAGGCTCTGGTAAAATCTCTTAAATTTTGTTTTTTCAACTGAGATCTCTATCTTCAAATTAAGATGGAAGAAAATATGCAGGCAGGCAGTCCCAAGCTGTTCCATTAGCCATTCAGTTTGTAATAGTATATCAGCTGAATTCTTATGTTTTCCATTGAGAATTTGAATTGTATTTGCACTTGTCTTCTAGGGTTGAGTGCCCAGATAGGCTACTGCACAAACATATTATCTACAAACACGGTGCTGCCCTGAGGGGGGACAAGCAACTCTCCCCACAACTCTTTTCTTCTTCTTCCATCACCTGACTCTTTTGGGAAGCCCAGTGGCACAATTCTCCCCTCTGCACTGGCAAACCCGCTGCCCCTGTCCCCCTTTGAGCTCTCCAAGGCTGTTACAGACCAGCAACTTTCATTTAGCGCTGCTCTTCTCTTCCCCCTGAGAACTGATACGGCTGGCACTGCAACCAGGCTCTGCTGGACTTCCAGCCTGACATGTCACCACTTCAGGCTCCAGGATGTGAAAGAGCTGGCTGAAACAATCACGAATACTTTAAAAAAATAGTATTGACACTGAATCCCTGTGGTATATTTCTCTCATTGTTCAATGTTTTGTCCACGGGTAAAACATTTGAAGTCTTTGTGGGGAGTGTTAAGTCAATGAAGCCGAGTTTCTCTTTCACTTTGTTGAATCCAGTAGATGAGACGTAAAGAAACAAATTAAATATTGTAAGATCTGTGATCAACTACTGGAAATTTCATCTGCTATCCTAAAAGGCAAAGGCCATGTTTCAAAATTAAATCAAGCTGTATTTCAAGACATGACTTCACTTTTGTCTCGTTGAAGAGACACAAAAGAGATAACGTCTTGTGTTTCATGCCATACCTACAGTTGGGGTGCAGAGAGGGCTGGAATGAGATCTATGCATGTGGTAAGACTTGACCAAACTCAGGCATTGCAAACTTTTCTTACATTGCAACTGAATTCCACTCTTCTAAAAGAGTCAATAACATCACTAAAGGACAGCATTTTAAAAAGGGATACAGTTCTTTTCTCATTTTCTTCCAGATTATTACTGTTTGGTATCATACACAAACACCTAGTGGTCCTAATACATAACACAGAAACAGGGAATATCTAAATATTAAGAGAATGTAACTACTTGTGGATAAGATGCCTGTTTTCTTGCAATGTTTCAGATCCTTTCACCACATCTCTTCCTAGCAACAAGCATTGAATATCATACAAGGTGGGCTAATAGATTTGTAATCACCTGGAAAAATACGCTACCATATACACCTTTGCAGTTTATTTACAGAAACAAATCTGGACTGTAGGAAGGACCAGAATGGGTCTAGGTCTGCTACAGCAAAAGAGCAAGGATGAGCCCTCACATCTGATCAGTCCACATGTGGAGTTGTGCTCCCACCCTCCCACTTTTCCATTTAGAGTCACGACGATTTCACTAGGAAAGAATCCTGGAAAACTCTTGTCTTTTCTGTTCTTTTTTTTTTTTTCCCCAGGATTGTGCAGGGACAGTAAGGGGAAATTTCTGGAGAAATAGCAATGGTGTGTGAGCCAATGGTCAGCTTTGCACAAAGCATGTGTAATTCTTTCCCTCTACTATTCACATACAGTAATTCCCCAGCCACGGGGTTATATTCTCCCACATCATCATGAGGGGAATGACTGCAACAGATTTCAACAGTCTAGTAGCCAACGGAGCGACTGACAGCACTGGCGAAAATGTAAGCTGAGAAGACAGACTAGCCAAGTAATGAAAAAAAAAAAAAAAAAGCAAGCTGTGAGATATATTACTGGAATCCAGACAAGAAAAATGTCTGTTCTGGCACCACTACAACCAAAGAACAACAACAGGTTATGACCCACGCTGTACTTGGGGAATTAGGCACACAGCCTTTGCATTCAGCCTCCTCACAGGGGTATGAGGTAAGGGCCACGCCATGCTGGTTCACAACCCTCTGTAACTCATCATGTTATGAAATACAAATTGGCAGACAGAGAGGGAGAAAAGGGGAAAGGAACGGAAACTTTGGTGAGGGTGTTCCCATCCATCCCTCTCATGCCTCGACAAAGCTCTTCAGCCAAACACTTGGACATTCTTCATCTATTTTATTTCTGTAGAGAGTGTACTGTATTGTTTACATGTCATGTTTCACTGAAGCTGGTGAGGGAGGGACTGGAACATCTGTAATTCTGGGCAGCTGTTTTGCAACACTTGTTGTTTGAAGAGGGGGAAACACTGTTTTCAGTTACCTCTGCATTGTCACATCAGATCCTGGCCTTTTTTAAACACTTTTTCTTCTCTGTTGACTGAAAAGTTTTACGCTTTTCTTTCCACTGTTAAAATGTACATTTATGCACACATATACAGAGAAAATATGCTGAGTTTTTAAGGATCATCTCTGAAAACTTTGCCATCAAGCGAATTTTGCAAAAGAAGTATATTAGAAGATTAATATATCTGGCATTTTTTCTTCCCCACCCCACTCCACCACCCCCCCAGCAGGAAAATCAGTTACTGGACCAGTTTTCATTAATCCTAAACCTACATTATTGATTTACCATACAGGCACTTGATCACAGAGACCTGCTTTTAAAGCAGGCTCCAATTTTTGTACATAGTCTGAAACGTATCTCTGCACAGTCAGCACGAGACACAGAGAAGGTTTACATTCAGCTCAAACCTAAAAACCGGGTAATGTTTAAGTAGAATACAGACATTATCCAAGCCCTCTGCAAACTCACTTTTGAACTCACCTGCAAATGTGAATTTAACCTAGGAGGAAATCCAAGGTACTGAAGTACCCTTAAACCATAATATGGACAAGATGACACACAGGAAAATGTATGGTAGCAATTTCACCATAAGGTGAAGGTTTTTCAATATGTCTTCCTAACAAATCACAGTCTGATGTCTGGGCTCCCCTCTCCTCATACACACACAGGTGTCTTTTTGAGAGTGTTACTCATTTAGCAAGGATGACTCATTTCTTTTTGTCTCTGTTTTAACTTTCCTAAAAATCACAGCTTTTGGAAGCTCCTGTAATGCCACATATTTTCCAGAGTCTACAGCTGGAGCATGCCAGGAGGTGTAGTCTTCCATGAAACAGGCATCAGGAGGAAAAAAGCATTACCCAACAGGCAAAATACATTGGTATCAGGCACCAAAGTTTCATAACCTGCAAAGAAATTTTAAGGTGCTGCAAGACAGCCCGAGGTCTGCTGGCTGTGCCCTGCTGCCTATCATTTCCCTGGATCACGAAATAGGGAGGTATGTATGGTACATGTATGTAAGGTACCCTTACAGCTCAGAAAATTATTTCCTTAATGTGGAAGGACTGGAGACATTTGGTCCATATGCACATGGCTTCTTCTGCTCTTCTGGCATCATGAAGTCCAGGGAAGCAGAAATATATCAACTTCTGCTTAATGTGAACTTTCTCTCTTAATAGATCCAAAGGACCAGCACTGAATACTTCCCATCTGGAAGCCTGCAGGTAAGCACTGCTAAGGGGAGCACACTGTCTGTTGAAGTAGCTCTGCCAACCTTAATCCTGTGCTGGGGAAATCATACCCTTGCCACCATCTGGACTTCAAACACAGGACAGGCTGCAATACTTCCCTTCCCCTTGTACTGACCTGTATCCTACTTACACTTCATTTCACTGAAACTGCAAGAGATCATCACAAAAGGTCAACCCATTTCTAGGGATTAGTCACATAAATAGCTCCTTATCCACTTAGATTCTCATTCACAGCAGATTGGCTTTGGCTCAATAAACCTGGAAAGTCTCAAATGCTTTAATTCATTCATCAGAATTTAATAGAGGGCTGGATGAAAGGATATGTGTGTGCATACACTGATGGTTACAGCAATATTCACTCCAGTTTAAACGGTCCTTAGTAGTTAACCTCTGTGTCTTGTTTCTCAGTGCACGTTACACCAGTGTGTGCTCTCTCTCCACACTCAACTGAAAGAGCAGGTAAGGTCTGCTTTACTGTAAAAAGGCTCTGGCACTTCAGTTATCTCATGCCTGTGAAATCTTCAAATTGCAAAAGAAATAAGTGGAACCCAAGCATGTGTTTTACTGATGAGTAACCAGAAACGTTACCGCTGAGGTGCCCCAGCTGACCTGATAACTTGCTCTGGGTGGTCCTAAGGGCATGTGGGTAAGGAAGGTCTTTGTTTTCCTCTTCTTTCTCCATCTCTTTGTTGTGATTTGGTAGATGTCTCATGTGGAACTGACCTCGGGTTGCCGAAGGGCACTTGAGCAAATCTGGAAATTGGCCTAAAACTTCAACTGTGAATATGCATTATTTCTTTGAACAGTTCAACGCTTATTACTATGCATATCTAATTAGTGGTAGGTTTGGGCTTTTTTTTTTCTGTAAAGGCTAACTAGAAAGTGCCCCTTAGAGAACTGAAAATGTAGGTTGTCAGAATTGCTATCTATCTTCATGCTGGGAGCCTTCCCACTCCTCCATAAAATAGGACAGCTTCTGTGGATTCTCTCATTTGGCAAAGTGTCTTTATTCAACAAAGATAATAAAGATCAAGAAGGACTTCAGCTTAGTTTAAAATTTAACCTGCATTTTCAGTATGAGACATGATTTGAAATCCATAAAAATCAAGATGATCTTTTTATGATCATGGAAATATTCTCATCAGTTTCTGAATCAACCTTTAAAAAGGAAGATTGCCTTAAAAAAAAAAAATCCAAACTAAGCTTTTTGGATCGGTGAGATGATACCAAGAATAGCTGTAAGGCTGAAGTTTAGCAACAGATAAGTATATATTTACCTGAAAAAGACACTTAAAAACATTCTCTACTCTCTTTTGAACTAACCATTTTGATTCTGCGATTACTTTTAAACCAACCAGTAGGCACTATCCACAATGCCCAGACATCACAACGATGGTGCTGAAGAAAAATAACCTGTGGTCTTTCCTCAAAAAGAAGAAAAGGAAGGGAGTAGGTTGCAATGGAAAATGAGTGTTTTTTTCATGAAAGAGTAGAATAGTTGTTCCAGTCTGTATCGGTGGGCTCCACGTGACTTCGTACTCCCAGATCAGGGGGAAAAATAGGAGCAGGAGAGCATTAGCTGAGGACTCTTGACTTGACTCTTTAGGAGAGAAAAGTAACAAAAGAAATCCTAAAGCCGAAGGTAGAAGTCCATTGGAGGTATATAGTGAGGGAGGCATTAAAAATGGAGACTAGTATTTCATACAAATATATCACCATTTTCTGCTTTATGCATCAGTCGCTCTCCAAAACATGAGTATGACTGAATTATTCAAGTAGAATGAGAAATTGTATTGCAGCTGCCCCAAAATCTGTTGTTTTTTTTTTTCTAAACTAAGAGATAAGTACCTGAGAAAAACAGTACTTCTGCTGTTAGTCATTGTGCAAATAGTTTTTGGTGTTTACTACATCATCTTACATGGTTAACAAAAGACTACATATTAGTAAAATTTGCACATGAAAGTAAATAAAAGGTTATATTCCCACCTGAAGTCACTCCAATTTAGGTTTTCAGAAATCTGTCTTGCAGGATGAACAAATTTCCCTTTAATTTACTTTTTTTTTCTTTTTAACACATACAATGTTACTTGCTCTTTTCTTTTCAACATCTTCCACTCAGTTTTGCTGTTCTCCTGTTTTCACTCTCTCACTTCAGGCTGTCCTCTTCCCCTGTGTTTTCCCAGTCACAACAAGCCTATGCACTTGTAAACTTTCCCCAGTGCAGTGCTGAATGGTCCAGTTTTAACCATTAGAACCATGCTAACAACTTTCATGTTGCTAATATCAGGCATGATAAGTAGCTGACATTTTAATGTTTGGAAATTGAAGACAACTGAGGTGAAGTGACCTGCTGAAAGCCACATACAGAGTGTAAGGCAGAGCTGTGAGTCCAGAGGTCCCTCTTTTCTTGGCCCTAATTGTGCAAAGAGTTATTCAAGGCAATTGATTTTGCAAAAGCCTTAAACTCAGTGGGACTACTTGTGTGTGAAAACTGAAGTATGTATCTAAATAGGATCACTGCCATATTCTGTCTTAAAAGTGTGTTTTCTTTGGACATATATATTTGGCTTGATTGGAACATACTTAGGAGTAACTGGAGTAAAGTGCAAATAGAGAATGATATAATGGCTTGAAAACATTTAAGAAAACATGGCATTAAAACCAGACCAGCATAAACTAACAAAAGCTGGGGGGGATCAGAAGCCATCCAGCCATGGATTTCATACTGATCTAAAAGACAGCCAAAGGTTTCTTCTCGTTGCTTTTTTTTTTCCATTTGTTTTATGGTGGACCAAAGTAAGAAAGCTGTGGCTTGTAGGTTAAACAACAGAAGATCAAACATATTTGAATAATTTTTGTTTAGCTTGGTCCTGCCATTGTTTTCAAAAGAGGGTATGGCATCCATGTGCGACAGGAGCAAACCCTATTTACGACTTATCAGAAGTGCTTAGTTTTTCTCAAAAAAAACCCCCCCCAAAAACGGTAGGTACAAGGTGTTCCATTGGCATCAGAAACTGAAAAATACTGATTTTCCAATTTTTACACTCCTCTGAAGCCCCTTCACCCCTGGCACCCCATATGACATCCTTTGCAGCAGTGGGGGCAGCCTGCACTTGGGCTGAACTGGAGCGCTGTGCACACTGCATGGCTGCCCCCTGCACGTGTGCTTGGTGCCAACCCCAGCTGCTGCCAAACGCCTTTTACCTCCCAGCCCACCTCTCAGGGGCCAGCTGCCAGTTTCTCTGGGGCTGCATGCCTCTACCTCCTCTCACAAGTTTGGCTGAAATCAGCCTCCAACCTCAAACGCTGCTTGTCTGCCTCTCCACTTTTCATCCTCTTTCCAAAATAGACATACAATGCAATAGCCTAAGTCTTATTTCCTTTGGAAGCAAAACTAAAAAAGAAGCTCTGTGCAGAGTGGCTTGTAGATACATAACCATAATGGGAAACAAGCAAGCCAGCATTTGGGACAAACCTATTAGCGTTTGATGGGGATGAAACTAGAGAGGAATTCTGTATATATTAGCTACTTTTCAGTCTTTTCAGGTCATATTCTTACATGGTGTAAATCCAGACAGCTGTTAATTTTAACATAGCTGTGCTCTTTCCGACAACTGCTGGTCCAAGTATTAGAATTTAGCAACAACCCTTTTCCTTTTTTTAAAAATCTGCTGTGTAAAAATACTGACTAAGGCAAGTTTTATGATAAATTTTTAAAGGTCTTAAAAAAGGTTTAAGATTTCCAGTAAAATTCTAAAGCTTTTCCATATGGAGGGCAAGCTGTTAAAGATCAAATCATAAAAGAGTGTCAACTTAGTTTTCAGAGGTTTTTCCTGTCCAAGCAAAAGTGTAAAGCCAAGTCACAGCCCCATAGATTTTACTTTGTTTAGATTGTATTTTTTGCCTATGCCATGTAACCTAGTCAGTGAAATGTGCCCTATGAAATGCTTTGTACTCTCTTTAACTTCATGCTGTAGCAGAACTGCACCAGGTAATGTCAATAAAAATATTGAAGCAAGCCATCATTTCTGGCAATGGGTCTTACTTAACTCCGTGTGACAGGAACAGACAGTGCTGAAATCGGCCAATTTTCCACAATACCTACAAACAAGACAGGGATCGGACATCACTGCTCTTTTTAGCTAGATCTAGCTCTTCCAAACAGCACTTTTCAGCAACACTATGTTGGGCATGGAGGTTTTAGCATGGGCTTAGGTTGACCAAGCTGGAAATGGGTTCTATATAGTGGAGGCATTGCCTCATTCCATCAGCTCGTGGGCAGGTGATGTGGTCGACTGAAGGGTGGTTATCATGAACATCATTAGTTGTCGTGAGCACTAATCTGGAGTATCATTCTCATAAATTGCATGTAGAGATTCCACAGCAATGTTCTTTCATTTATATATGCAAGACCCTTTATATGTTGGGTTTTTTTCTTTAGATGGCCAGTACATGGCCACTCAAGCAAGAAGCAGAGCCCGCTCTGAATAAAGGATTCAAATAGCCTCTGATATCAAGATTTAAAGCCCATCCTTTCTCAATTTTCCTATTTGTTATGTTTTATTCCTTAAACTTTACCATTTGTCTTTTATATACACAGTATGTTCTTGAACAGGATTTAACACTAGTTAAGGACAACTATATTTTCTTTGTGAAAACTGGGGGCTTGTTCAGTTAGCATTTAAAAAATGATTAGGTAAATTTTATAGAAGTATTGCCAAAAAAAAGTGTCTCACCTTTATTTTTGAGAAACACCATTTTGAAATCTCATAAATCTTTTTAGACCTCTCACCTCAAAAAAAAGTAAAGAAAATAAAGGGTCTCAAAATTAGACTAGATGGGCTTGTTCAACATTATTTGGAATGAGCAGCTATTTGGCTGGTATATAAAATTCTGCTGTGTCCGTAGGACATGTAGATTTCACGGCTAAGGATTTAGGTAGGAAGAAGAAAGGTAAAGCCTTGGGAAACCAAAGAAGGAGTAAATTTTTATTTTACTAACCTCTGAATAATTTTTTTTTCCCACCAAGAAAGCAACTGCAAATGCATATTCCTATAAAAGTAAAGAAACTGCTATTCAAGTATACAGCACCAGACATAAGCAAGGTCATCAATTGGTCCAGGATGCCATTTATTGTCACAGAAACACATGTGGGTATAAAACCCAACCTTCTGTCAAGTTTATTATGGAGGCTTAGTATATTTCCTCATAGCCTGAGCAAGTGGACTAAGGCAGTAACAAAAAATCTTCAGTCCTCCCCTTTCATACATGAAAGCAATGTGTGTGTATGTCCTCTATCTCTTAAGATCAAGCTGGAAAACATGATCCATCTGCAGTCTGCTGGTTCAGAAAGCAAATAAAAACCATTCAGGACATATTATTATTGTTATAAGCTTTGTGATTTTAAGCCAGTTTTAGATTTGTGAAGGGCCTGAAACATGCTGGGGCTGGCCAAACTA